CACCTCTAGTGACCTATACGACATATTGATATCTCATCACATATCTCATTAGTTATGGCTAGCATATAATAGTCGGAGTCACCTTTAGTGACCTATACGACATATTGGTATCTCATCAATCTTGGCTAACACCGTATACTTACTTGAATTTACGTAAACGTACCTGAACTTACCTGAATGTCCTACATTCACCTTTGCACTTCAGAGCACTCACAGTAACACAATTTTATATATATATATATAATGCATCATATACCAATTCATATACGAATTATAAACTTATATGCATGGCATTCAAGGCATAATCTCGTTTAAACATATTTTTGGAAAAATATCAAGTATATAAATATATACTGAAAACCAAAAGCTCACACACATTGCTCTATTCCTTAAACAAGGATATGGTCTCGATTATTTAATCTCATTTCTTATATGGCTGCATCTAACGTACGTACCCTAAACATGGATCAAACCATTCGTAGTTCACATTAATCATTTATAGTAATACGCATATGGATAGATCACGATGAAATCTAACTCAACCATCTCATAGTATTTTATAACTTACAAATATATATATATATATATATATATATATATGTCATGGCATAAGTTTCTTAGTTTTATTTAAAAGCATCTATAGAATTATCAATCATGAAACATAAGATGAGCAAGGAAAGATCCACTCACCTGGAGTACGTGCTACAACCTCCTAGCATGAACATCGAGGCGTCATAAACTATCGGCGCCTACGACCAATTATCAAACCATATCTCAGAATTCTCGTTGATATAATACATAACTTACATCGCATATAAGTCTATGCAATTCGGTCCAAAAGATCCACAAATCAGATCTCTGATCCGTAACTTCTAAGGATACACATTATACTTCTAAAATAACATACTAAAGTTTCAGAACGATCCAACGGTCGGATCTCCGCCAATTGCCAAAACCAAGTGGCGGTTAGTATTTTATTTTACGAACTTACAAATCCAATTCAAGGAGATCCATATGTCGGATTCCCAATCTGTAAGTTCCTATATTCCTCAAATATTATGAATAATAATATATCAAAGTTTGATGACGATCCAACGGTCGGATCATCGATTCATGTAATGGCCTATTAACGTATCTTAGAGAATTTTGGCTCTAACGATCAATCTATGTCATTCACTTCTCAAAACTGAATTCAAGACATCACATATAGTCTAAAAATAGCATTGGCGGCCCTCAGGCCAATCGCCGCCGCACCCGCCGCCGCTGGTGGCGGTCGACCGTCCTGGCTTACCGAAAAATTCAACTATTTTTAAAAAATCTCAAAAATTGCAGAATTGAAGATCTCAAAGAGAGGAACAACTTTCATACCTTTGGCTAAGGCCAATATGGCCTAGAAGGGCTCCAATTTCACCAAAACCGTACGAAACCCTTGATTTTGGGTGTTTTCAATCCGCTTCCAAAACAACTCCGTCGTCCCAACCATTGCTTGGGCTTTGTTCTAGGCCTCAAGATGAAACTATGGGTGGTGGCAATTGAAAGAAATTTCTTCAAAAATGGAAGAATTTCGAACACCCATCCACCGCACCACCGGTGCGTTTTTCTCAGTTTCTAACTCTAAACTTTCCAAATTTTGGGATGTAATAGGTAGAGGAAAGGCTAAGTAGTTGATTGGTAGAGGTGGAAGGTTGTAAAACGCCGAAAAATTGGACGGAAATTCGTTGAAATTGGGTGTGGACACCGCCGGGTTGAAACAGGTCACAGGTTTTCCCAACCTGTTTCTCCTATTTTCCTCCGCTTCTCACCCTCTCTCATTTCCTCCTTTCCCTATTCCGATTGGTCAGTCTCACTCTCTCTCTTCTCCCAATTCGGCCCTTCTCTCTCGGAGCTCTTCCTCGTCTCTAGTTGGGCAGTTCTGCCCAATCTCTTCTTCTTCCTTTCTTTCTTCCACCAACCACGCACACACACACGTAACCTCCTTTCTTCTCATCCCAGCCATCCATTTATTTCTTCATTAAATCTGGGCCGTCCACTTTCATAAAAGAAATTCCAGATTTTACTAAAATAATAATTCCTAAAATGCCTAAACTTCAAACGTTAATAACTTATTCGATATAGCTCCAAATCACGAACCGTCCGTGCCCACGCGTCCGTAGCGACGAGTAATACGAGGATATTCCAAGAAAACCAATCTTAGGTGGCACGACATAGCAATTAACCTCGAACAAAGCATGTACCTCAAAGGGCATTTTCGTAAATTCACGCTTCTATAATTTATAAAATAATAAAATTTGGGACAGGTTGTCACACATATATCATCTCCAACCGAAGGAATAAACATAGCCCTTCTAATAATTTATTAGTTTTAAGTTTATAATTTAAATTTATTGGTTAATTTAGTTAAACTACTGTTGGGTAATCTAGTCATTGAATTTGAATTAATTATTGATACTGAGGAGCTAGATCTCAAAAAAAAAAAAAGACTAAGAGGGGATTTACATTTAACCAGCCTGATGCTTCTTGGCCAAATAATAGCATGATTGGCTCTATAGAATTATAGCCAGCTATTGATTGGAGATGAATTTTTGGGCAAACCAATTTAATATTTGGCTTTTGAACCTTTAGTCGTTTCCATCGGAGATGGCCTTAGAACTTTATTTATACCCATTTTTCTCTCTAAAGCCATGTGCCCTTCTCTCTTCCAAAAACCTGAATTCTGCAAGCTAGCCTCCTGGCCGTCGGCCCTTGGTTCTGGCTTAGGGTTGACGGCTAGCCTGCCTTCCACCCTTTCAAGACTCCTAACCCTCATCCATGTTGGCATCCTTCCTTTCCTACCATCTTCCCCTGTGATAGCTTCCTGTTTTTCCTTCCAACCCCTATTTCCTCTATTTCTTTGCTTCCCTATTTCCCCTTTTGTTTTTTGGCTTCTGCATGCCCTTTTGTTTGGGCCTTTAATTTCTAGCTTCCTGGAGTTTTGTCTCAACATCCCGGCGCTTGTTTTGGATTTGGGTTATGTCCCTTTTTACCCTTGATGTTTTTCCTCGTCATCAATTCTCTACTGCTGACTTCTGCTACTCAGCTTATCACGTCTCTTTGTTTATGTGCTTTTAGCACTATTTGGTAGGATTATGGGAGCATTTTTTTGCGTGGGTGGCTCGCTCACTTCCATTTTCTGTTCATCCAGTATGTTTGTGGGTTCTTTTTCTTTATGGTGGTGACGGATAGGCGATGGCAGTTTGTGGGTTCTTTTTCTTTATGGTGGTGACGGATAGGCGATGGCAGCGCAGCTGGCATGGTGGAGTCTGCATTCTTCTAGATTTAAGGTTTTTGTTTTTTTAGGCTTTTCAATTGTATTTACTTTTGAACTGTGGTTGTATTTGGATTGCATTTGGCTTGCTATTTCTTGTATTAGTTTTTTAATTAGTGAAAGCTATATGTTTGACCCAAAAAAAAGAAGTTGGAAGTTTCTTGTTAATCCATTGCGTCACCGAAAATAAATTTTAAATTAATAGGATCATCTGTCACCATATGAGCTTGTCGAAAAAAAGCATTTTTTAAAAGAATAAATAGGCCTCCCTCCCTTTACATCTCTTTCCAAGCAACTTACGATAAGTCATAGTTGATCTAATTTTGGCTGTACTTGCTTCTTAAATCATCATTGGATGTCATTCAGTACTACGGTCTGATGGTATTCTTCTCAACAGTAAAGTTTTAAGGCCATCTCCAATAGAAACAACTAAAGGGTCAAAAGCCAAATATTGAATTGGTTTGCCCAAAAATTCATTTCCAATCAATAGCTGGACTATAATTCTATAGCCAATCATGCTATTATTTGGCCAAGAAGCATCAAGCTAGTTAAATGTAAACCCCCATGTCATTTTTTTGAGATCTAGCTCCTCAGTAGCAATAATTAATTCAAATTCAAATTCAATGGCTAGATTACCCAACAGTAGTTTAACTAAATTAACCAATAAATTTAAATTATAAACTTAAAACCAATAAATTATTAGGAGGGATATGTTTAATTCCTTCAATTGGAGATGATATATGAGTATAGCCTAAACCCTAAATTTAAATTATAAACTTAAAACTAATAAATTATTAGGAGGGCTATGTTTAGTTCCTTCATTTGGAGATGATATATGAGTATGACCTCAACCATAGAATACAAGATGGATGGATAAAATGGAAGAGCGCATCTGACGTGTTGTGTGATCGTAGTATGCCATTAAAGTTCAAAAGAAAATTTTATAGGACGGCTATAAAGCCGACAAATGTTGGGCAGTGAAGCATTAACACGTACATAAAATGGATGTAGCAGAGATGAGAATGCTTCGTTGGATGTATGGGCACACGAGAAAGGATACGATTAGGAATGAGGATATCCAAAGTAAAGTAGAAGTAACCGAAATTAAAGGGAAAATAAGAGAAAATCAATTAAGATGGTTTGGACATATGAAACGAAGGTCTGCTGACACTTCGGATAGAAGATGCGATTACGGAATAGAAGTTCATGGTCGAAGAGATAGAGGAAAACCTAAGAAAACTTTGGAAGAAACTCTTAAGAAAAAACTTAAGAGTACTTGGATCTAACGGAAGACGTGACACAAAACCGAGCGCAATAACATTCTAGGATTCATATAACCAACCCCACTTAGTAAGAAAAGGCTATTGTTGTGGGTTGGAGACAGCCTAACTAACAAAGAAATTCACCCGTTGCAGTTATGTCCCAAGTCAAAATAATAATAATAGAACAAGGCCAATATATAATAAAATTTGACTTGTACCGATAAAAAAATTTCCCCAAGTGGTGAATTTTCCATGGTTAAGATCGACCTTTTCAAACCCCTGCGTTCATGGTTCAAATTCGAATCTCCCTATCATGTAGAGTCTATTTCCGGTAGTATAAATTAGTGTAGAATATCGTTTGTAATATGAAAAAATGAAAAGTAATCCAATCCTTGCTTCATATTTTAAGTTCAAACAACATTCAGTGCCAGCCGTTCCAAACACCAGAACTAGAATTATATTCCACAGAATAATGAAAAGATAATCCTACAGAACAAGTTAAAAAGATTCCAAAACTCCAACTCAACCAAACAGGTCATTGCTCAGGAACAAGTTAAAACAGGCTGCAAAATCACATCCTAAACTCTTCAAACACAAGGTTGCCCAGTCAAATATGCATCTAAACCATCGAACACGTCTACGGCGGCATACGGTCCTATTCCATACGTAATGTAATCCCAAACACTTCAAGTTTTACAAATCTAACATGCATTGTGTTACCTGTACTTACAAATCTAATCTGAATTATGAAGTCTGTGTTTATAATTCGCTACCGAAAATAACAGCCTACTGAAGTTTCCGAAATGAAAATCATCGTTTCACTGCTCTGTTGCAACAATTATAACTCAATTAGAACAGCAAGAATGTATCGATAACGTTAGACATCAATACGAAAATCCAGTTCTTCGTACAATCACGAGAAACTATTGTCATGAAAACAAATCAGAGAAACAAAGTTGCGAGTTTACGAATGAAATTTCATGGTCAGTCAGGACAAAGGCATCCAATCCTCTCTCCCTCCAACTGCGTCTGTAATTCCAGCCGAAAGGGTATAAATCTATCCATAGGACAGAAACACACTTTAAGAGTTAGTCAGCACAGTTAAGCATTGTTTGCATCAGACAACTGCAACTTCCGTATTAGGGTCATAACCGTGAGAACCAGAAAAACGCACAATGTTAAGACTCAGTTAGGTTAGTTACCTCAGCAAAGAAAGAGGTGAGCAAGTGATTGGTGAAGCTCTAATGGAGACTCACCGCTGCATAAAAACCGACAACTAAGGTTGGAATTCATAGACACCGAAACATCGACTAGAAATAAATTTAAGGGCAAGTTTATTCATTTCATGAATTATTCTCATTCTGAATACAATGATCATAAACAATGTTTTAGCCTCCGAACAGTTAAGACTCGGGTTTTCGGTTCATCTCAAACCTGAAAGATTCTTCATCTTCCTCTTCCTCAATATACATCCATCATCAACAGCTTCTAGAACAGCAGGAACATTCATTCCTGATAGGAGCCATAACAGAGTAAAACAATTAAGCACAATCTCAAGATCAAGGTCGATGACATAGGTGTTTGACCTCGAGGAAGTTGTCCATCAATTCTTTAAATTTCCTCAAAGGGTTAATCCATTAAGTCGAAATCTTTCTCAGTTGCATAATTTGACAGTGCACGCCACGGCCTGTGCCCAGTATTTGAGCCTTTCTTTCACATCCTCGGGATGGTCACCTGGACAAGCAAAATTTTACCAAGAGGTCAGAAGTTTGAAGCTTTATAGCGTATTGACGTTGCACCAATTGAACTAATCGGGGGCAAATTCAAAAGAATTTTTGTTTTTTTGTTTGTTACAAGCTACAACAATGGTGGGGTGGAGGACCGAGGAGGGATAGGTCAGCCATAATAAGCTATCGATAGGTCAGCCAGATCACTCACCAGGACTAGAGATCTTCCAATTGGCAATTTGAGTCGAAACCGAATCCACCGCGGCCGGAGAGTTCTCCGGCGACTTCTGGTGCTCGTCCATGAACTTCTGGCTCATAGAGTAACAAAGCTCGAGAGCCGGCAAGGTGTTACAGAGCTCGGGAATCTCTTCGTAGCTGAACCCAAATCCCAGATCCAAACACCCTTTAAGCTCGTCGAGATCCTCGTCCGTCAAGCTCTTGGTCCTCGACAGATCATCGTCGTCCGCCGCCTCTACATACCCTTCAAGCAAAACCTGCTTCTTCTTCTTCTTCTTGCTCTTCAACCTGTTCAACTTCGGCCATTCTTCCTCGTCGGTTTCCTGGGTGAATCCGGAAGATGAAGACGATGTTCGAATCAATTGATTGGTTTGCTCATCTGGGATTTCATTGATTGAAGAAACCCATGATTCTGTTTCGCAAACGAAGGCCTCCATTTCTCTCTCTTTCTCTCTCAAACTTTCTCGAGCTTTCTCTCTCTAGGACTTTTCTTTTCTCGTGAGTGTTTGAGAGAGGCGCAGAGAGACGTCTTTTTAAAGCTGTACTCAGACGGAAACAACCAATTATTTGCCTTCGTCTTTTTTTTTTGTTTTTGTTTTTTTTGAAATTTCCATATCGGGATGCATGTCACGTGTAGACATGATATATACATACATACATACATACATGACATGTCATCATCAATGTCTTTTTTTTTTCTTTTTTTTTTTTTGAAATTTCCATATCTGGATGCATGTCACGTGTACACATGATACATACATACATACATACATATATACATGACATGTCATCATCAATGTCTGTGGTTGTGTGACCTGGACGGGACAGCTGTAGCGAGAGGTTAAGAGGGGTTGATGACGACAAAAATGAGAAGTGGACACGTGGTGGACGGTTGGACACGAAAAGTAGGATAGGACAATAGGAGAGAGGGTGGGGCCCAAAGGGAACTGTGGGGTTGTATGGGTCCATCATGTTGTTGGGTGGAGATTTGTTTGCATGTGAATGATAGAGAAGCATGTGGAAGAGAAAGACTTGTATACAACGGATACATTCTAATGTTATTCATACTATATTTTTATACTACATTTTCATATCATTTTAGATACAGCCATATTATTTGAATTAATCAGATTTTTAAATTTAGTTTATTATTTAATAAACTAATAATTAAGAAAAACGAATTAATTAAATAATTATTGTAGTATACGATGAGTCTTTTTCCTTCATTTCTTTGGGTTTTGCAAATTTTTCAAATGATGTGCCTGTCCACATCAGATGCCACTTAAGTTGGTATAGAAATGTAGTATAAAATCATGATATGAATAGCATTACTCTTTCAATTATGTTTTTTTGAACTCGACTTTGATTTCTTTTTTACTCTTAAAACTCAAAAGTAAATATTCTATTCTTTAAAAGTCAATATTCGTTCCACTTTAATTTGATTCTGTATATTTCATAAAAAAATTGTTATGCTTAGGTTTATAGCAATATTTTTTGAAACTCGATTTTAATCTCTTTTCATCTCGAAACTTAAAAGTCGTAGACTTTATTTATTAGTTGGAACTCAATATTTGCTTCACATTCTCTTGTTATGTTATTTCCGACTTCGATGATGCCACGCCTTCATCTCCTCATGATCCTCTGTCTCTCCTCATCTCCCTTTTCCCATAAACGAAATCCAGATCCTCATATGTCATGGCCCGTTTGACACCTCTACGATGTGTCCAGGAATTATTATGAAAAAATAATAAAAAAACCCATGGATTGTTTATGCTATTTTTCCAATTAAGAACATAAGAAATAAAGAAATCAATGGAACTAACGATGAGGTGGATGGAGATGAAGGAATAAGGGATGATTGTATGCACAATAATTAGAGAGGAGGAGGAGTAGAAGAGTTATTTAACGGAATACACATAAACAAGCTAAAGTGAAGTGGGTATTAACTTTCAAGAGTAAAGCGGCAATTTTTAAGTTTCAAAGGACAAAGTGTGATCAAAATCGAGTCCGGATTTTCACCGTATCCTTTTTGTGAGGATTCTAAGAATCCATAAATCATGTCCATTCATCGTACATAGTGCGGTCAGAAATCATTTTAAATATTTTTATTTAAAAATAAACATAAACAGTACTTGACAAAAACTGACCACACGCTGTACAATGAACGGACACGATTCACGGATTTCTAAGATCCTAACCAAAAGGATCCGGAGAGGATCCTGATGGATCAAAATCGAGTTGTAGAAAGGAAAACTTGAAAGAAAGAAAAAATTATTCGAAAAATGTATTTTTAATCCACATCAGCATATTTGTTGGTTTTAGATGAAAATAAAATAAACAAGTTATTGTAGAGCGAATTTTGAGTTTCAAAAAGTAAAGTAACTACTTTTGAATTTTAGTAGGTAAAGTGAGGTTAAAATCGAGTTCCATAAATGGTAACTAAAAATGAGCCGACATTTCTTTTCTATGGACATTTTTTGTTAATAATATAATTATATGTATTAAATTTTTTGTACATATTTTCTATTAATACAGAACGCTATTGCGATGGTTTACCTGTGTTATAAAAATTTCTCACACGTGGGAGATGTGTTATTTCTTTTTGTAAGGAAAAGTTAGGAAAAGGGCGGTTTGGTAAATTTGGTGGGGCAAGTGTTTATAATAGCCCCAAGGGAGAAGCTCTGACCACGTCCACACACCCCCTTGAAATCGTGTTTGGATAATGATAGGTATGGACAAAAAAACCTTCATTTGTGGATGAGATGGTCGTGGTCTTTACTATTTAGTGTTTATCTACTTCTTGCGGTATTATCCCATCCATTCCTTTTTGTTTTCTTTTTTAACATCACTCTCATAATAGTTGATTATCTCTCTATAAAGGCGGATCGGTCTCTCATATATAATTGGAATTTAGCTACACTATTTGAAATTCGATTTTGATCTCATTTTACCTTCTGAAACTCAAATATTCGCTTCACATTGCCTTGTTTCTGTTCTCAAATATTCGCTTCACATTGCCTTGTTTCTGTTATTTCCGACGATGCCACGCCTTCATCTCTTCATGATCCTCATGATCCTCCGTCTCTTCTCATCTCCCTATTCCCATAAACGAAATCCAATTCCTCATTTGTCATGGCCCGTTTAACACCTCTACTGTGTCTAGGAATTATTATGAGTAAATAAATAAATAAACCCATGGATTGTTTATGCTATTTTTCGAATTAAAAACATAAGAAATAACGAAATTAATGATAAGGTGGCTGGAGATGGAGGGAGAAGGGATAAATGTATGGACAATAATTCGATAGAGAGGGCGAGGGGTATGATAGTTATTTAACATAATACATATAAACAAGCCAAGGTAGAGTGAATATTGAATTTCAGTAAGTAAAGTGACGACTTTTGAGTTTTAGGGGCAAAGTGTGATCGGAATCGAGTTTTAGAGAGTAACTGAAAGAAAAAAAATTATTTTAAAAATGTATTTTTAATCCACATCAGCATATTTAATGGTTTTTAGACGAAAATAACATAAACAAGGAGATGCGAAGCGAATTTTGAGTTTCAACGCGTAAAGTAACGACTTTTAAGTTTTAAAGGGTAAAATAGGATCAAAACCGAGTTCTAAAAAAGATAGCTTAAAATAAGCCGACATTTATATTCACATTTTTTTGTTAATAATACAATTATATGTATTTAATTTCTTTCACATATTTTCTATTATTAATATAAAACACTACTATGATAGTCTACCTGTGTTATAAAAGTTTCTCTCATGTGGGAGACGTGTTGTTTTTATTTTGTGAGAAAATGTTAGAAAAGGGGCAGTTTGGTAAATTTGGTGGTGCATTCACATTTCACACACCCATTTGAATTCATGTTTGGATAATATTTTAGGTATGGACAAAAAAACCTTCATTGATGGATGGGATGGTCGTGATCTTTATTCTTTAGAGTTTATCTATTACATGCTCATTATCTTTAGAGTTTATCTACTTCTTGCGGTATTATCCATTCATCCATTATTTTTGTTTTCATTTTTAACATCACTCTCACAATAGCTGATTATCTCTCTATTTAGAGGCGGGTCGGTCTCTCATATATGATTGGAATTTACGTCTATTACAGAAATAGTCTGTAAATGTAGTACAAATACAATCATTTATCTTTGATTTTAACGTTGATTGTCCAATTAACAATCCATATTTGAGTTCAATTCTCGAAATTAGGGTTCAAATTCTTTCACATTGAATCTCATCCATTTGACATGTGTCCAATTCACGCTTTTTGTTTGATTTATTGTCTAATCAACCGTAACTTTTTATGTGACATAACAGAATTCACTTACAAACAGACTAATCATGTCACATAGAACACACCAAGGACATTTCAGAGGCAACCTAGAGGCAAGCCAAACAGAGCTTACGCCTTGAGCCTCACTTCAGTTTGCTTTCCATGCTATTAATGGTGATTAACATCGCAAATGGTGTGAATCGATTGATGTCAAAACGTGGGGAGCAATATCAAAAGAAAAAAAAACTGAAATGTCAACTCACTTTGAAACTAATTTAAAACTTCAATGGTGTAAAATATAACCCTTAAGCATAAAGTATATCATTAAAAAATAAAACGTTACTATCAAATATCAAGAATTTACATGTAAAAAATCCTTATAATATGGTCGGAGATGGGAACAAGTTTTGGGCCTTCTTAATTTTTCTCCTAGTTCTTAATAATATGAACAATTCACACTTAGAGAAAAGTTAAGTCGAATTTATCAAAGTGAGATGCTTTATAGCCTTACTGTTTAATATTAATTTTCGTACTAGTATCATAAATTATTGTATAAAAACATGAGATAACAAAGAATACCGCTTTAAGAGAATTTCTTTATCATTTCTCAATTGATGTGAAAACCCCAATGGACAAATGCTAAGAAAACTCTTTTAAAAATAAGACTCTTTATAGACTATTTGTTCCTTCATGATTTTTTACACAATATACTATGTTGATGCACAAAACCGGAGAGGTCTTGGAACAACGTAAATCCGACCGTGAATCTGCAAGAAAGTAAAGAACACAAGATGTATCGTGGTTCATCCCAATGTTTGGGCTACGTCCACACTGATATTGTTATTCTTTGTTTGTGAGAGGATGAGCTTTGTAATGTGAGAGTGAGGCCTTCCTAATTGTGAGGGTGAGGAGTTCCTTTTATAGAATAAGGGCTCCTCACTTATTACATATTTGCCCCTTCCTTTATTACATAATTACATTTGAGTCTCCCGAGTATTTATACGAGATCTAAATACAGAGGCCCTAAGTATGGTACAAACAATAGTCCCCCAAATCTTCGGTCAAGAGAGTCTTTTGGTTGGAGACTTGAAATTTAGTCCATGTGTGGGCCGAAGTAACTAGATGTCGTCTAGAACTGATACTCGATATGAGGCGGTGCCCAGTCTGAAATGATGTTCAGCTAGAAGTAGCACATGTTGCGAGGCTGCTCTGCTTATGGCTTA